ATTATTTTGGTTCAGAATAATCTTTAGCCGCATACGTTTTCGATAAGATAAACAGTAAATACAATTTGACACTTGTGTCATCGATTTCTGTAGAAGAAAACCACCAACAACAAATAATAGGTAAGACAGAACAAAATATTCTATAGTGAATTCAATAGTATTTTATCAAAGCTACTAGGTACTTAACGTTCTATTATATTGAAAAAATAATATTGGTACCACACCATCTGCAAATAGTACCTATCATGGTCCATAACCAAAGCAAAAAAAAATTCAATGTCATTATTCTTGCTTTAAGGGTCCGAAAAATAGCTAACCACTTTTTGGCGCATAAATTTGAGTACATGAATAGCAAAATTTAAATAAATATACATACTATTATAATCCAATATAAAATGCTCGTGTCCCAGTATTTGCGGTTGCACTTCTCTGAAACATCTCGACCGATGTTAATGACGTTTTTTGTATATTTGCCATTTGGTAGGTATGAGAATGTATTTTTCACTCTCCTAGGTCCAACCCGATTAGGTGCCCAAATGGAAATTGGTTGCCATTAGTTAATCGTGCAGATGAGGTGAAAACATGCATCAAATCAAATTTTCGCACATTTCCTACTTGATATGCTGTCACACTTTGTCCATGATCAGACATAGTCGGGTTGCCTAGCAGGGAGGCTTAGTTGCGCTAAAAAATAAGTTGAACAATCAACATTTTTTTTAAAGTTGTAGTTTTTACGGACAGTGAAATGCGCGGGATCAGTTAGTACTAATATAAAATCAATAAATACCATTTTAATAAACATTTGAAATATAATTCACGAGAACCCAATAATGATTTTCTTTATCAAAAACGATTTTGTGCTGAATCAACTGTTAACTTTAAATTTTATGAAAATAATTTTTGTAAATAACTGCTGGAACTGAACACAAAAAATGTATATATTTTTAAGTTGCTATCAATTTAATTTACAATATGTTTAATATATTAAATATTTGGTATATGTAAGTATTATTTTAAAAAGGTTTTATTTCTATACAGAAATGGATGAAAATGATTTACAACATTTGCCATGTGAAGGTGATCCAACAAGCGTTCTGAAATTTGAAAAATGTGAACCAAAAAAATTTAAAAATAACTCTCACGCTGCAGAAGTACTTGGGGTCTTGCAATCATTAAGAATGTATGTAGTGACTTAAATTAGTAGCTAGAAAATTAACCAAAGTTTGTATTTAGAGATGAAGAGTTTTGTGATATTAAGTTGGGAACAGACGATGGTACAGTAGTTCTTGGACAGAAAGCTATCTTAGCATCAGCCAGTCCATATTTCAGGGCCATGTTCACTAGCTTTGAAGAAAGGAATAAAGATCATATAGTTATAAAAGGAATAAACTCAACCATTTTGCATCTCTTGATAAATTATATTTATACTGGTGAAATAATTGTAAACGAAGAGAATGTACAGGTATTATATATTTATAAGACTTATTCTAGAATGATTTAAATTTGTTATTGTTTATTTTTCAAGGATATGTTAGCAGCTGCAGATCTCATACAGTTAGACTACATAAAATCCGCTTGTGTTGAGTTCTTACATAAACAGCTTAATGTTTCAACTTGCCTCGGAATCAGAGCCCTTGCTGACTTATATAACTGTAGAGAACTGATGTCAAGTTCTGATGCCTATATTAAAAAACAGTTTTTGTATGATAAACATAATTTAATTTTCTTGTTCAGTATGTAAATTCTATACATTACGATTATTATTTTCAGAGAAGTGGTAAAATATGATGAATTTTTACGTTTATCTCCTGATGAAGTGATTCAACTTATTTCTTGTTCTGACCTTGCGGTTCCAAATGAAGAATATGTAAGAAAACTATAATTATTGTTATTTTATTATTATGGGTTGAAACTTGAGGATGGCTCAATTTTTTTACCTATACTCTGTTCAAGTAGAGAAACTATTCATGTGGCGGCGATCAGTTTGTCAACCCATAGGCTGGCAGCAACCGTTTGTCTCTTCACCTAGTAAATTATTTGAATACCTGTAGTATTACTAGTGCCAAGCCTTTGCGCTCAAGTCGGAACTACGTTTCTTAACTTGAACAGAGTATGCATGAAAATATAATATGAATAACTGTATAAGTGTAATATATCTTATATTATGGCCGTTTGAATTACATTTTACAGAATAGAAATTAATATTTTGGTGGTTGACTTATGTATATACTTTGTTCCACCTAAGAGTGAACCGCTTTCACGCACGCAGACTGAGCCGCCAAATAGTACCTGACCCCTATGCGATGGCTATGCGTTCTGTGATTGGCGGACAGTTATCGCCTGACGTCGGGCGCCCGTGTTCAAAATCTCACCAATGTCAGGATTGTGGCGGGAATGCGCGGAAAAACGTGTTTTGGTGAGCAGAGTGGTTCACTCTTAGATGGAATAGAGTATAGATATTTGATAAAACCCAATACCTATTTTAATATAATATATTATAATTATTTATTATTTATTTATTCAGCCAAAATAATAACAATTAAATTATTACAATAAAATAAATTAATAATAGCTGATACAAATACCAACTGAGCTATAAGCTCAAATCTGGTGTACGGAGTTCAACGATATTATAATTTGTTTAAAGTAAATACTAATAGAATAAAAATATGATATAATTAAATAAACATAACATGATAAAAAAAAACTATAGAAACAACAATTTACATCTGCATTACATAATATTATAGGTACATATTAATATATTATAAGATATTATGTTTACTGTTTAGACATATTGACTTTTTATGTTGTTATTAATACACACATTATCATCAAGATCACTAACTATTGTATCTTATTTTTATTAATTATATTAATTATAGCATTGATATTATTAGATTGACTTTCACATAAACCTTTTATTAGACTCTTTACTTCGTTATTTAAATTTCAATGATATCTGTTCTGTTGGTGCTTCCCCAACAGGTTATGCCGTATAATAGTATCGAATTACACAGTGCCATGTAAATTTGTCTTATAATTGAATTATCAAGGAATCGAATTTTGTAAAATAATACATTTAAGCTCCTCATTTTATTTTTTATTTTTTATATTATGTATATGTTCTCACCATTTTAAGTTAAAATCCATTGTCACTCCTTAATATTTTAATGATAATACCAATTTAATTGGTTTGCAACTACAATTTGTCATACTAGTTAAACATTTATGTATTATAAATTTATATCCAACAGGTAACTGTGATCGTTTGGTAACTAACTATTTTCATGCAAACCGATTTGTTTATGTTGAGTGATAACAGATTTTTTCCATCTAGTCATAGATATGCCGTAAATCGATTTCGACGGTATGTTTTAATTTTTCCCAATTATCTTCGAAATTAACTAGTACTATGTCATCCGCGAACATGAATAATTTACCTTTTAATAAAGATGCAGGTATAGAGTTAATATATATTAAAAATAATATAGGGCCTAAAGATGTACCTTGAGTTACTCCATAATCTTTAACATAACAATTATTACTAAAATGAGGTCCGATAGTTGTTAGTTGTTGTCTGTTACTCAGATAACTGGTAAACCATTTTAATGCATTGTCATCAATGCCTTATTCTTTTAACTTGTTTAATAATAATTGTCTACTGATTGAATCAAATACTTTTTCCAAGTCCAAGAATGAAATTAAAATTTTTTTTTAGTATCCCTTTTGCTATGTTTTTATTTTTATTTTATTATTTATAAGGTATATAAAATCTGTTCTTTTAGGAACAATAAGAATATGTGATATTTTAAAAAAAGTTTATAACATGAAAACGTGATGGGAGGAGTCATCCAGTGGTTACACTACCCTTACTTGATATTTTTTTTTTTATTTTTTTTTCTATAATGTTTGCTCATTATTGTGTGTTACTCATTGAGAAGATCTCGACACCATTTTCTTCTGAGCCTCCTAGGAGGGTTCCCAGGAATTGTGAATGTGGCAAGGTTTGAAATGAGGGGGTTGGTATGAGAAGGGAGTTTTGAGTGGAAACGTTTGTAAAAGGTTACTGCTTCTTCGTGGACTGTTTTAATTTTTAGATCGGTGTGTAAAGTTGGGTTTGAAATATATGGAGGAGAGTTTGTGATTTTGCGAAGGATGTTATTTTGGAAGGTTTGAATTTTATTAGTGTTAGATTTTTTGGCATTGCCCCAGAGTTGAAGACCATAGGTCCACATAGGCTTAAACAAGGATTTATAAATTAAGAGTTTAGTATTTAATGGAGTGTGTTTGTTTTTGGTAATTATAGTTTTGAGGATGCGGAATCGTGCATTTAGGGCTAGCCTTTTAATTTTAATATGATGTGACCATGTGAGTCGACGGTCAATTGTCAGACCTAAATATTTAGCCGATTGAGAGGAAGGGATTTGATTATTGTCGAGATATACCATAGGACAAGGAGGAAGACGAAGAGTGAAAGTTGTGTGAAGTAACCTTTTGCTATGTAAATAGTTATTAATGTCGATTAAAACGTCTTCTGTTCCTAGTTTTATTCTAAACCCGTATTGTCCAGTAAATAACATTTTATCTCTCTCCAAGTATTCTAATAGTTGATTTTTTTAAGGATTTTAGCTAGAATTTATACTATTGAGATTGGTCTATAAATTAGTGAAATTATTTGGCGTTTATCAAACACCAAAATTTCTCTATATTTCGATCATAAGACCTAATATTCATGTGTAAAACATTCAAATTGTTACTCTCTATATCCATAAAATACTCATAATATATATCTTTACTTACTATATTTCCGTCATTGTTTGTGATATAGGAGTCTATAAATTCTGAATTTGTTTCAATAATTTATAATATTTATATAGTAAAAAAAGTTGCTTGGTCTATACCAATGATATTTTAATATATTATATTAATTTTTATAGTTATAAAACCTTGGTAAGAATGTGTGTTTACAAAACGAGTGTTGTATAACTGATGACTGTCTAGTCAGGATAATATTTTTTATAATGTTTGAAATATGTGTTGGATTGTATGGCCCAATTATAGGTATTGCAAAATATCCTGCCATGACTTGTCCAAATGAAACAATAGCCCAGTTCCTTACCTTTCATTCTCGATTCCCAGAATAGTTTTCTATTGAAAGCCGTAAGACTTTTGTTTATATAGATTCGATTACTTTTGTATTCAATTTTACCTCGCTTCTTAAGAAATTCGTCACGTTTTCTCCTTGATGCAAATTCCACAATTATCAAAGGCTTATCCAGATTACGGTTTGAAGGCTTACGATAAGCATTTTCAATATCAAACAAATTAGGATCTATATGTAAGGCACTAGCAATGTCATGGGTTACATTGTTGACATTTTCTTCCTCTTCCTTTTGGTCACCACTTATTTCGACATAACTAGATTTTTTATTTTGCTCCAAAGTGTTAATTTTATACTCCAGGCTTAGAATAGCTTTATCTTTTTCCATCAATGATTTTTCCAGTTCAATAACACAATTGTTTCTAGTGAGTTATTTGTAGTCACCTGGTTTCTTAGTACCTGATCCAATCTATCGTAATATATTTGGTATCTATTTCTTTTGTCTTATGAGCAGTGTCTTTAATTCTGGTGTCATCATGTCGTCCGATTTTCACTTTGTTGGTACACTCTTCGCAATTGTATTTTTTGCCAATAGTTTGAAGATATTCAAGACTATCTTTGTCCATTTTTGAATATTACATATGTGTTATAATATAACATGTAACACATTGAACACTGTCTTCGTTACGCGAGATTGATATTTGACACTTAGGGCACACCGTAATATTACAACACTTTAGTTTAAACAATATTTGTCGATTAGTAATAAAAACGCACACATCTTTAAAAAACGAATGAAAACACTGAACCTCTATAATTTATGTAATACATTTTAAAGATTAATGTTTCTTACAATAAACTTGGTCTACTGATTTAAATTACAAATAATAAAACCATATATACCTATTTAATTCATCTCTTAACAATATTTATATTTCAAATATACTAATATAGACATATAATAAATAACTTATGGCTTGCAATAAAAAAAAGAAATCTAATGGCTGTTTAAGAGATCCCAAAAGGTATTTGTTATTAGATCTATATATTTACATTTTGTTATTTTATATTAATTAAATTATGTTTATATGTTATAGGTATTTGAAAGTGTTCTGAATTGGGTGAAATATGAATTAGGTTGTAGAAAACAATTTTTGCCAGATTTGATGGAACATGTGAGATTGCCATTAACTTCAACACAGTATCTATTGAAAAATGTATCCGAAGAGCCTCTCCTTAAAAATAATCCTAAATGTATGTTTTTCTATAAATTAAAATTTTATTGTACATTGTGTATGATATATTTATAATTTTTTTTTAGGTAAAGATTATTTACTTGAAGCTTTAAATTTTCATTCCCTCAAGTCACAAAAAATAATGACCATACCAAAAACTATTCGATGTAAACCTAGGCAGTCTGGTGGTTTACAAAAAGTATGTTTCTGTTTTGATAAATTTACCTTTATAGTTATTTCATAAATTTATTTCTTCCAGGTTATCCTTACGTTTAGTGTCTCGCCGCTTATGGATAGGAATTTTATAAGCTGGTATGACCCTACAAACAACCTATGCCACATTGCACAAGAAATTAATGAGGATTGCCAAGTAAATCATGTTGTCTTAGTAGAAGATCAATTTGTGATTGCTGTCGGTCGTATTCATGTTGGACCTAAATGTTATCCGTTTATTCAAATGCTTGATTTATTTTCAAGAAAACGCAGTTGGGTACCAATGGTTAACACGTTAGTTGATCGACATGGTTTAGGCATTGGTGTATTAAATAATAGTATATATGCTGTAAGTTACCCTTATACTCATTTGTTTTTTCTGTGATTGCTAAAATTATTTGTATTTATAAGCTTTTATCAAGCAGATAGGTGGTAATACTAAAAACTTTGTCAATTTAAATATACCCATAAAAAATGTATATAATAGGTCATTGGTCTATAAAATATGTATTGATTATCATCTAATATTAATCAAAAACCAACTGAGTGGTGGAAATTACAAATAATTATAGAGTTTTTTGTTTTCTTTACTTAAACTTTCAATATGGAACCATACAGCCTTCATTAATGTATAGTTGTATATTAAAAAAGAAGAACTAGGCTTGGGATGACTAGTTTATGATTAATAAACATGATGTAATATTAAAATCTAGGTTGGCGGAGAAAATGGTTCTATTTGCTGCAATAGTGTTGAGGTTTTTTTGGTCGATTTGGAAGAATGGCGAATGGTATCTAGTATGGCTAACAAAAGATGCGATGTTGGTGTTGGAATTCTAAACAATCTTTTATACGCGGTAAGAAAATAATTTTTATTAAAATTAAATTTTATTCAGTTGTATCATTTGTATAGGTAGGAGGAATTGATAGTTCTACAAGTGAATATTTAAATTCAGTTGAATGTTATGATCCCAGTCTTGACACATGGAAACTAGTAGCACCTATGTCCAAACGCCGCTCTCGTCCTGGTATTGGAGTCTTAGATGGTGTTATGTATGCTGTCGGAGGAGAACACGGTGCAGGATGTTATTATAAATCTGTTGAGGCCTATAGCCCAAGTGTCGGCGTATGGACTTCGGTCGCTGATATGCCCTTTGCAAACTATTCTAGTAACTATAATATTTATATTTTAGAAGAACATATTTGAAAAAATGTATTAAATATTAAATTTTTTTGATATAGATAAAGTAGTCGTTTTGGATGGTTCATTGTATGTTCTGGGTCATGTACAATCCATTAATATGCTAACCATACAACAGTACTATCCCAACACTAATGAATGGAAATCAACGGAAACCTGTATAAAAGATACGGGATTTATTTTTGCTGCAGTTGCCGTTGATAGACCATCACTTTTTAAGACTGATTAGCATAATGACCATGATTGGTAGTTATAATCAAAGTTGGTCACTAACTAGTTAGAAAGTTACTTTTTAAGTAACATTCTTACTTAACTAGTTAGATTTAATTTATATTAACTTTGTAACTTCATTTGTTGAATTTATTGTGTAAAAAAGTCTAATCCAACTGGTTAGAAAAAAAACTAACTATAGTTATTATTATTATTATTATTTTTTTTTCATTCCAAAATAAATATTTTAATTTTAATTAATATTCTGTTATATATTTTTTTTATTTTGTTTCACCCTTTATGTTTGATAAACTGATAACTGATATACCAATTAATTTAAATTATAACTTACCTAATTAGAACATTTTGATCAAATCACTAGGTGTTTAATTCAATTTTTCAGTTTTGATCAATAATTTAAGTTAGACAACTTATTATTTACATTTCAACAAAAAGGTTTTTTAATCTATAAATAAACTAATTTCTAACTTCTACTCTAACTTAAGTTACTGTTTTCACCAAACTAACTTCTAACTAAGTTAGAAATTTAGACAGTTTCAGAAACTAACTTATATTCTAACTTATGTTAGTTAGTTGTTTTATTAAAGTAACTTAACTTCAACTAGTTGAAAAAAATGACTAACTTGCCCAGCTTTGTAAAATACATATAGGTAATACCAATGTGGTGTATGGTGTGTTCCGGAATTTGCAACCCCTTATGTAAAAAAGGTGCAAATCTAAACTTTGCCCACGGATAGCTTTTTTGTTGTTAACTTAGCCCGGAAATATTAGGTAATAAATAGGTCGGTTGTAAACTCGGCTCGGAAATTTAAAATAATAAAAAAGGACGTTTGTAATCTAGGGCCGATAATTATTTTGACCAATAAAATATAATAATAAAGATATAATTTAATTTGCAAATAATAAATGGTTCCCAAATATATTATACATATTATATTTTTATTCGGGTTGAGTTTATACCTAAATTATTTTTACCTGAAAAAAACAGGGGCCGAATTTAAAATAGACCTTTTGTACCTTTTTTTTTCGTCTGGCCGAGTTTACAATCGCCCAAAAAAAGTAGGATTTCACCCTTTATCCCAAAAATGGTACCTACATTAGGAATATGGATATTTGTTATATAATATTAACTATTATATTTGGTTTTTTCTTGTCTGATAACTGATAAGAGGAGAAGGGGGATGACATAATATGAATTAGAACATTTAATTTAGTGACGAATCTATTATTGACAACACTATATAACAATTAAATTTTCATATTTTAAGTAGTTGTCCCGTAATTATCGTTTGTAATCGAATTATGATGTAGTCGTGTGGGACTTGTGCTTAAACTGTAGATAAGTCGTTTAATTACATAAATAATAATAACACTAATAAAAGTACTCGCAACACCATGCTTCGTCATACAATATTACAGTAATTGACTGTTCACGAAACACGATGAATTTACATAATATAGTATTAAATATAAATACAGTCTAGTCGCCATAACTCGAACCTCGATAACTTGAAAAACTTTACAACCCGAATTGTGTTTTATTCCCCTAGAAAATGTTTCCACTCTAAATTAGTTAAATATCTCGAAAAATACATATCTTGAAGTGAATTTTTATCCCCCTTTGACTTCGAGTTATCACGACTCGACTGTATATAGGTATTATTTATATCGCTTTTTAAAAGAACACATCTTGAAATCAAAATGACCGAAAAAAAAGGTTGGGATTGGATCATTTTACCACTTACAAGAAAATTATATTGTACCTAGTAGTATAACTTATATAATATAATATAATGTTATAAATTATATGTCCGTCAATTTATGTGACACATCATTCAATTCTATTTAACAAAATTCTCTATACTTAATACATTTTTTTTAATGCCCCACGAGACTTCGTAGTATGGAAGTTTCACTGTATTTACCCTGACAAATTGGGATAAAATAAAATAATTATTAATGAATTAATTACTCGAGTCTCAACTCATCTAGTATTGGTTGATAGCACAAGTGTTTATGTATGTGTGTCAAATAATAATAATTTTAAATTGTATGAGTATAAGTTAACCTATTTCCTATACCTAGGCTATAACTTATAAGAACAAAACTAAAATAAAACATTGTATTTTCTAAATACATAATATTATTATGTCTATATATTTTACAAGTGGTATTTTCATATTGTTCATTGCTATGCATAACTTAACAATAATTAATTGAAGCCCGTTTTTTGTATTCATTTTATAAATGTATTTAATTTATTTGACAAAATAAATGTACATGCATTTGTTTTTTAAATATGATAATTGATAATATACCATTATTATATAATGGTATAATTATATAATTATTATATAAGTACTATAATTTATCCGAACTTCGTTGATAAATTTTCTTTGACCGTAATACAACGATAACATTTAAAATTGACCTAAAAAAAAGAAAAAAAAAGAAATAACTAGATATATTTTATAATTAATAGATAAGCAACTTATTGATCACTCCTTCTTG